AACACGGGATTTGGACCCCAAAATGGGGGTCTGGACCCCCAAAACACCCAAAATAAGGGGTTTGGACCCCAAAATGGGGGTCTGGACCCCCAAAACACCCAAAATAAGGGATTTGGACCCCAAAATGGGGGTCTGGACCCCCCAGAAAGGGCCTTGGTCCCCAGCCCCCGTTACAATTGGGGTTCTCCCCCCATTTCCCACCCCCATCACAACAGACACCAATGGGATGGATCCGTTTATTGTCACCCCCCCACCCCCCCCATTGCAGGCGCTGGGACCTGTGGGCACAAAGGGGGGGAGGGGATTAGTGGGGACCCCCCCATAGCCCCCTCCCCCCCCCCCCCCCAACCCCCTCCCTTGGGCCCCCTCAGACCCCCCCCGGGGGGCAATGGCCCTGGGGGGAGGGGCACAGGCGTCAGCAGGGGGGGTCAGCGCCCAGTGCTGCCATCATGGGGGGCCCCAGAGCAGTGACCCCCCCCCAAACCCAACTGCACCCAAAAACACCCAAAAACACCCCCAAAATACCCCAAAACACCCCAAAACACCCCAAAACACCCCAAAAACACCCCGAAACACCCCAAAACACCCCCAAAACACCCAAAACTGCCCCAAAACACCCCCAAAATACCACAAAACACCCAAACACCCGAAAACACCCTCAAAACACCCCCAAAATACCCCAAAACACCCAAAATGCACCCAAAAACACCCCCAAAATACCCCAAAACACCCCCAAAAACACCCCCAAAATACCCCAGAACACCGCAAAATACCCCAGAAAAGCCCCCAAACCGTCCCAATTCCCCTCAAAAAGCCTTAAACCTCCCCAATTTATCCCTAAACTCCACCAAAATGCCCCAATTCCCCCCCAAAACGCCTTAAAACACGCCAATTTCCCCCCTAAACCACCCCAAAACACCCCAGTTCCCCCCAAAACGCCCCAATTCCCCCAAAAACACCTTAAAACACCCCAATTTCCCCCTAAAACACCCAAACCCATCCCAATTTCCCCCAAAACACCCCAATTGTCCCCCAAAACACCCAAAACCACCCCAATTCCCCCCAAAAAACACCCCAAAACCCAATTCCCCCACAAAACACCCCAATCCCCCCCAAAACACCCCAATTCCCCCCTAAAACACCCAAAACCACCCCAATTCCCCCCAAAACACCCCCCCAAAACCCCCCAAAAAACCTTAAAACACCCCAAATTCCCCCCAAAACACCCAAAACCACCCCAATTTCCCCCAAAACACCCAAAACCCCCCCAAAAACCTTAAAACACCCCAAATTCCCCCCAAAACACCCCAATTCTCCCCTAAAACACCCAAAACCACCCCAATTTCCCCCAAAACACCCCAAAATGCCCCAATTCCCCCCCAAAATGCCGCAATTCCCCCAAAATACCCCAAAACGCCCCAATTCCCCCCAAAACCCCCAAAACCCAATTCCCCCCCAAAACACCCCAAAATACCCCAATCCCCCCCAAAATGCCCCAATTCCCCCCTAAAACACCCAAAACCACCCCAATTTCCCCCAAAACACCCCAAAACCCAATTCCCCCCCAAAATGCCCCAATTCCCCCAAAACACCCCAAAACACCCTAATTGAACCCAAAACACCCCAAAATGCCCCAATTCCCCCCCAAACACCCCAATACTCCCCTAAAACACCCAAAACCACCCCTATTTCCCCCAAAACACCCCAATTCTCCCCTAAAACACCCAACCCCCCTCCAATTTCCCCCGAAAACCCAATTCCCCCTTAAAACACCCAAAACCCCCCCAATTTCCCCCCAAAACCCCCCAAAAAACCCCCCAAATTCCCCCCAAAGCCACCCCAACCAATCCCCCCAAAACAAAACCCCCAATTGACCCCAAAACACCCAAAACCACCCCAATTTCCCCCCAAAACACCCAAAACCCCCCAAAAAACCTTAAAACACCCCAAATTCCCCCCAAAACACCCAAAACCACCCCAATTTCCCCCAAAACCCAATTCCCCCCCAAAACACCCCAATTCCCCCCTAAAACACCCAAAACCACCCCAATTTCCCCCAAAACACCCAAAACCCCCCAAAAAACCTTAAAACACCCCAAATTCCCCCCAAAAGCCCCCCAATTCCCCCCCATCCCCGCCCCCCACCTCCGCTCACCTCCCCGCAGCCCGGCGGGGTGGGCGGGGCCAATACAGGGGGAGGGGGCGTGTCCAAAGGAAGGGGGCGTGGCCTAATCCTCCTCCTCGTCCTCTCCGGCGCCGGCCCCGCCCTGCCCCTTCTTGGCGTTCTTGCGCTTGACGCGGCCGGGCCGACCGCCGCCGTAGGGGGAGCGCAGGGAGAAGTCGATGTGTTTTTGGGAGTCCAGGCGCACCACGAAGGACGGGATGTTCACCACCTGCTTACGGACCCTGAAAAACGGGCGGCACCCCCAAAAAAACGCCGTTAAAAACGACCAAAAAACGGTGAAAAGCGACCCGATCCCCCCCCGTGGGAGGGAGGGGAATGGAACGGGCCCGGAAGTGCTGAGGGGGAGAGTGGGAGGTACCATTGATGGTGATGGGGGGGGTTCCTAAGGGAAAAGAGGGGGTTCCTAAGGGTATAGGGGTGCCATTGATGGTAGAGGGGGGTCCTAAGGGTACAGGTAGGGATGGAGCATTAAAAAACGCCATCTGAAAACACCCAAAAACGGTGAATTTCAATACAACACCCCCCACAGGGAAGGAGGGAATGGAACGGGCCGGGTGGTGCTGAGGGGGAGAGTGGGAGGTACCATTGATGGTGAGGGGGGGGTTCCTAAGGGTATAGGTGCCATTGATGGGGCACCCATAGGGTTTTAAGGGGGTACCCATTGGGCGTCAAAGGGGACCCTATTGGGTGTCACTGGGGGCACCCATAAGGTTCTAAGGGGGCACCCATTGGGTGTCAATGGGGTGTCACTGGGGGCACCCATTGGGTGTCAAACGGGTGTCACTGGGGGCACCCAATTGGGTGTCAAAAGGGTGTCATTGGGGGCACCCCATTGGGTGTCAAAGGGGTGTCACTGGGGGCACCCATAACCCAAAAGGAGGCACCTACTGGGTGTCACAGGGGGCAGCCATAGGGTTCTAAGGGGGCACCCATTGGGTGTCAAAGGGGTGTCACTGGGGGCACCCCATTGGGTGTCAAACGGGTGTCATTGGGGGCACCCATTGGGTGTCAATGGGGTCCCTATAACCCAAAAGGAGTCACCCCATGGGTGCTGGGGGGGGGCACCCATAGGGGATTGGGGGGGGCACCCATAGGGGATGGGGGGCCACCCATGGGTGCTGGGGGGGGGAGTGTGTCACCCACGGGTGCTGGTGGGGGGGGGGCACCCATGGGTGCTGGTGGGGGGGGGGGGGCACCCACAGGTGCTGGTGGGGGGGGGCACCCATGGGTCCTGTGGGGGAGTGTGTCACACACGGGTGCTGGGGGGGGGAGCACCCATGGGTGCTGGTGGGGGCGGTTCATCCACGGATGCTGGGGGGGGTTCACCCATGGGTGCTGGGGGGTGTGTCACACACGGGTGCTGGGGGGGGTGTGTCACCCATGGGTGCTGGGGGGGGGAGGCACCCATGGGTGCTGGGGGGGGTTCACCCATGGGGGCTGGGGGGGGGGTCACCCACGGATGCTGGGGGGAGCACCCATGGGTGCTGGGGGGGTCACACACGGGTGCTGGTGGGGGGTCACCCATGGGTGCTGGTGGGGGGGGAGCACCCACGGATGCTGGGAGGAGCACCCACGGGTGCTGTGGGGGAGTGTGTCACCCACGGGTGCTGGGGGGGGGGTCACCCACGGATGCTGGTAGGGGGGAGCACCCATGGGTGCTGGGGGGGGGGGGCACCACACGGATGCTGGGGGGGGGGAGCACCCACGGATACTGGGGGGGGGAGGCACCCATGGGTGCTGTGGGGGGGGGGGGCACCCACGGATGCTGGTGGGGGGAGCACCCATGGGTGCTGGGGGGGGAGGCACCCATGGGTGCTGGGGGGGGTTCACCCATGGGTGCTGGTGGGGGGGTGTTATGGGGGTGCTGGGGCACCCATGGGTGCTGTGGGGGGGTGTTGTGGGGGTAATGGGGGTGCTGGGGCACCCATGGGTGCTGTGGGGGAGTGTGTCACCCATGGATGCTGGTGGGGGGGGGGGGAGCACCCATGGGTGCTGGGGGGGTCACACACGGGTGCTGGGGGGAGTGTGTCACCCATGGGTGCTGGGGGGGGGGCCCATAGGGGATGGGGGGGGCACCCATGGGTGCTGGGGGGGGCAATGGGGCTGGTGGGGGGGGAGCACCCATGGGTGCTGGGGGGGGGTGGTCACCCACCGATGCTGGTGGGGGGGGGGATCACCCACGGATGCTGGGGGGAGAGCACCCACAGGTGCTGGGGAGTGTGTCACCCATGGGTGCTGGGGGGGGGGGATGGGGGGGTGGGTGAGGTGGAGAAATGGGGGTGCTGGGGGGGGTCAGGGGGGATGGGGGGGGAATGAGGGTGCTGGGACACCCATGGGTGCTGGGGGGGAAAGGGGGTGCTGAGCACCCATGGGTGCTGGGGGGGGGGCACCCATGGGTGCTGGAGGGGGGCACCCACCGGATGTGGCGCTGGCGGATGAGCACCCGCGCGTGGTGGATGGACTTGGCCAGGCCCAGCTTGAAGACCTGGGTCTGGAGGCGGCGCTCCAGGAAGTCCTCGATCTTGAGCCCCAGGATGTAATCCAGCTTCATCTTGCCCTCGTCCAGCACCCCCACCCGCACCAGGCGCCGCAGCAGCGCGTTCCCTGCCGAGGACACGAACAGTGGGGGGACAGCGGGGGAACGGGGGGAACAATGGGGGAACAATGGGGGAACAAGGGGGGAACAGTGGGGGAACAGTGGGGGAACAATGGGGGAACAATGGGGGAACAATGGGGGAACAATGGGGGAACAATGGGGGAACAATGGGGGGACAATGGGGGGACAATGGGGGGACAAAGGGGGAACGGGGGGGTAACAGCGGGGGAACAATGGGGGAACAATGGGGGAACAGTGGGAGAACAAGGGGGGAACAATGGGGGAACAATGGGGAACAATGGGGAACAATGGGGGGGAACAATGGGGGGGAACAATGGGGGGAGATGGGGGGGGAACAAGGGGGAACAATGGGGGAACAATGGGGAACAATGGGGGGAACAATGGGGAACAATGGGGAACAATGGGGAACAATGGGGAACAATGGGGGGAACAATGGGGAACAATGGGGAACAATGGGGGGGGAACAATGGGGAACAATGGGGGGAACAATGGGGAACAATGGGAGAACAGTGGGAACAGGGGGGGACAATGGGAACAGGAACAGGGGGGAACAATGGGGTTGGGAATGGGGCCAATGGGGAACAATGGGGGAACAATGGGGAACAATGGGGAACAATGGGGAACAATGGGGGGAACAATGGGGAACAATGGGGAACAATGGGGAACAATGGGGGGAACAATGGGGAACAATGGGGAACAATGGGGAACAATGGGGAATGGGAATGGAGTTTGGACAATGGGGCAATGGGATAACAATGGGAGAACAATGGGGAACAATGGGAACAATGGGGAACAATGGGAACAATGGGGAACAATGGGGAACAATGGGAATGGGGCTGGGGGGACGGGGGAACAATGGGGAACAATGGGGAAAAATGGGGGGAACATGGGGGGGAACAATGGGGAACAATGGGGGGAACAATGGGGAACAATGGGGGGACAAGGGGGAACAATGGAAAACAATGGGAAAACAATGGGGAACAAATGGGGGGGAATGGGGTTGGGAATGGGAATGGGGCTGGGATAACAGGAATGGGAATGGGGTTTGGAATGGGGCTGGGATAACAGGAATGGGGCTGGGAATGGGAATGGGGCTGGGAACGGGGTCAGGAATGGGAATGGGGTTGGGAATGGGGCTGCGAATGGGGCCGGGATAACAGGAATGGGGTTGGGAATGGGGTTGGGAAGGGGGGGAACAATGGGGTTGGGAATAAGGGGGAACAGGGTCACAATGGGGGAACAATGGGGGGTTGGGAATGGGGGAACAATGGGAAAACAATGGGGGAATGGGGTGGGGATGAACAAGGGGTTGGGAATGGGGTCAGGAATGGGACAACAGGATGGAGGTGGGGGGGTTGGGATGGGGTCAGGATGGGGGTGGGATGGGAATGGGGTTGGGAATGGGGCTGGGAATGGGGCCGGGATAACAGGAATGGGGCTGGGAATGGGGCTGGGAATGGGGGTTGGGATAACGGGAATGGGGCTGGGAACGGGGTCAGGAATGGGAATGGGAATGGGGCCGGGAATGGGGCTGGGATAAAGGGAATGGGGCTGGGAACAGGGTCAGGAATGGGAATGGGCTTGGGAATGGGGCCGGGATAACAGGAATGGGGCTAGCAGTGGGGCTGGGAATGTGGCTGGGAATGGGGGTTGGGAATGGGGGTTGGGATAATGGGAATGGGGCTGGGAACGGGGTCAGGAATGGGAATGGGGTTTGGAATGGGGCTGGGATAACAGGAATGGGAATGGGGCTGGGAATGGGGCCTGGGATAATGGGAATGGGGCTGGGAACAAGGTCAGGAATGGGAATGGGATTGGGAATGGGGCTGGGAATGGGGCCGGGATAACAGGAATGGGGTTGGGAAATGGGATTGGAATGGGGATGGGAACAATGGGGATAATGGGGGTCAATGGGGTCGGGGGTAATGGGGAATGGGGTTGGGGTGAAGGGGGTCAGGATGGGGGTGGGATGGGGGGATGGGGGTGGGGGGATGGGGGTGGGGGCAATGGGGTGGGGATGGGGGTGGGGAAAATGGGATGGGGGGTGTGTGTGGGGGTGGGGATAAGGGGGGTGGGATGGGGTGGGATGGGGATGGGGGAGGGGATAAGGGGGGTGGGATGGGGGGATGGGGGGGATGGGGGTGGGGGGGGTGGGGGAGGGGGGTGGGGGATGGGGGGGATGGGGGGCAATGGGGTGGGGATGGGGGGAGGGGATAAGGGGGGGAATGGGGTAATGGGGGGAAGAGGGGCGCCCCCCCTTCCTGGCCAGCGTGAGCAGGGCCGCCTGGGGATGGGGGCCATGGGGGGCAATGGGGCCAATGGGGGGAATGGGGGCAATGGGGGGAATGGGGTAATGGGGGGGATGGGGGTCAATGGGGGTAATGGGGTCAATGGGGGCAATGGGGGTAATGGGGGTAATGGGGGTGATGGGGGAATGGGGGTAAGGGGGTAATGGGGGGAATGGGGGAATGGGGGCAATGGGGGAATGGGGGGAATGGGGTAATGGGGGCAATGGGGGTAATGGGGGCAATGGGGGTCAATGGGGGAATGGGGGGAATGGGGGCAATGGGGGGAATGGGGGGAATGGGGGAATGGGGGTAATGGGGGTCAATGGGGTAATGGGGGAATGGGGCAATGGGGGGAATGGGGGGAATGGGGGGAATGGGGTAATGGGGGTCAATGGGGGGTAATGGGGGCAATGGGGGGAATGGGGGGAATGGGGGTAATGGGGGAATGGGGGGAATGGGGTAATGGGGGTAATGGCAATAGGGGTCAATGGGGTAATGGGGGTCAATGGGGTAATGGGGGGCAATGGGGCCAATGGGGGTAATGGGGCAATGGGGGCAATGAGGGTAATGGGGTAATGGGGCAATGGGGGCAATGAGGGAGCAGTGGGGGGCAATGGGGGGTGATGGGGCAATGGGGGGCAGCGGGGGGCAGTGGGGAAAAGCGGGGGGCAATAGGGGGCAGCAGGGGGCAGTGGGGAGCAATGGGGGTATCAATGGGGGGGCAGCGGGGGCAGCGGGGGGCAATGGGGGGAGCATTGGGGGCGCATTGGGGGGCAGTGGGGGGGCAATGGGGGTATCAATGGGGGGTCAGTGGAGGCAATGGGGAGCAATGGGGGATCAATGGGGCATCGGGGGGGGCAGTGGGGGGCAATGGGGGGCAATGGGGAGCAATGGGGCATCAGTGGGGGGCAATGGGGAGACAATGGGGCAATGGGGGGTCAGGGGAAATGGGGAGCAGTGGGGGGACAAGGAAGGAAAAACAGGAAAGGGGAAGGGAAAGGGGGGATGGGGAACAGGGGGGTAATGGGAATGGGGATGGGAAAGGAAGAAAACAGGAAAAGGGGAAGGAAAAGGGGGGGATGGGAAGGAAAGGGGGGGATGGGAAGGAAAAGGGGGGATGGGAAGGAAAGGGGGGATGGGAAGGAAAAGGGGGGATGGGAAGGGAAAGGGGGGATGGGAAGGGAAAGGGGGGATGGGAAGGAAAAAGGAAGGAGGGGGGGGATGGGAAGGAAAGGGGGGGATGGGAAGGAAAAGGGAAGGAAAATGGGGGATGGGCAGGAAAGGGGGGGATGGGAAGGAAAAGGGGGGGATGGGAAGGAAAGGGGGGGGATGGGAAGGAAAAGGGAAGGGAAATGGGGGATGGGAAGGAAAAGGGGGGATGGGAAGGAAAAGGGGGGGATGGGAAGGAAAAGGGGGGGATGGGAAGGAAAGGGGGGGATGGGAAGGAAAAGGGGGGATGGGAAGGAAAGGGGGGGATGGGAAGGAAAAGGGGGGGATGGGAAGGGAAAGGGGGGGATGGGCAGGCCGAGGTGGGGGCTGGGCAGCCCAGGGGGGCTCTGGGGGCCCTCCTGCCCCTCCCCCTCACCGATGAGCTTCAGCTCCTGGTCCAGGCGGGATTTCTCGAAGGGTCTCCGCGGGGTCACGTAGGTTTTGCGGCAAACCCAGCTCCGGGCGACCGGCATCGTGGGGGAGGGGCCTGCGGGCGAGGGACCCCATTGGCTGATGGCAGCGAGGGGGATCCCCATTGGGTGATGGCAGCGAGGGGGATCCCCATTGGGTCAATGGTATTGAGGGGGGATCCCCATTGGGTGATGGCAGCGAGGGAGGGAACCCCATTGGGTCAATGGTATTGAGGGGGGATCCCCATTGGGTGATGGCAGCGAGGGGGGGACCCCATTGGGTGATGGCAGTGAGGGGGATCCCCATTGGGTGATGGTGTTGAGGGGGATCCCCATTGGGTGATGGCAGTGACAGGGATCCCCATTGGGTGATGGCAGTGAGGGGGATCCCCATTGGGTGATGGCAGCGAGGGGGATCCTCATTGGGTGATGGCAGTGATGGAGGGACCCCATTGGGTGATGGTGTTGAGGGGGGGACCCCATTGGGTGATGGCAGCGAGGGGGATCCCCATTGGGTGATGGCAGTGATGGAGGGACCCCATTGGGTGATGGCAGTGAGGGAGGGACCCCATTGGGTGATGGCATTGAGGGGGATCCCCATTGGGTGATGGCAGTGAGGGGGGACCCCATTGGGTGATGGCGTTGAGGAGGGAACCCCATTGGGTGATGGCAGTGAGGGGGAACCCCATTGGGTGATGGCAGTGAGGGGGGACCCCATTGGGTGATGGTGTTGAGGGGGATCCCCATTGGGTGATGGCAGCGAGGGGGATCCCCATTGGGTGATGGCAGTGATGGAGGGACCCCATTGGCTGATGGCAGCGAGGGGGATCCCCATTGGGTGATGGTGTTGAGGGGGATCCCCATTGGGTGATGGCGTTGAGGGGGATCCCCATTGGGTGATGGCAGTGATGGAGGGACCCCATTGGCTGATGGCAGCGAGGGGGATCCCCATTGGGTGATGGTGTTGAGGGGGATCCCCATTGGGTGATGGCGTTGAGGGGGGTCCCCATTGGGTGATGGCAGCGAGGGGGATCCTCATTGGGTGATGGCAGTGAGGGGGATCCCCATTGGGTGATGGCATTGATGGAGGGACCCCATTGGGTGATGGCAGTGAGGGGGAACCCCATTAGGTCAATGGTATTGAGGGGGGACCCCATTGGGTGATGGCATTGAGGGGGAACCCCATTGGGTGATGGCATTGAGGGGGATCCCCACTGGGTGATGGTGTTGAGGGGGGGATCCCATTGGGTGATGGCAGTGACGGGGATCCCCATTGGGTGATGGCATTGGGGGGAAACCCCATTGGGGGATACCACTGAGGGGGGGACCCCCACTGTGTCAATGCCATCGAGGGGGATCCCCCCATTGGGGAAATGGCATTGAGGGGGAGCCCCCATTGGGTGATACCATTGAGGGGACCCCCCCCCCATTGGGTCAATGCCATTGAGGGCCCCACCATCAACTGATACCATTGATAGGGAGCCCCCCATTGGCTGATACCGCTGAGGGGACCCCCCCATTGGCTGATACCATTGACAGGGAGGCCCCCATTGGCTGATACCATTGACAGGGAGCCCCCCATTGGCTGATACCGCTGACAGGGAGCCCCCCATTGGCTGATACCATTGACAGGGAGCCCCCCATTGGCCGATACCATTGAGGGGACCCCCCCCCCCCAAGACACGTGCTGGTCCATCCCGCCCTCTCTACGCATGCGCGGAGGCCTCCCCTCCGTCCACGCATGCGCAGAGCGCGCTCCGCTCGTTTCCCCCCCCCCCCCATTCCCCCCATTTCCCCCCCCCTCCGGCTCCGTTCCCGAGGCCGCGGCCTGGACCCCGCCGCGGCTCCGGTTCCGGTTCCGGTTCCCTCGGGCCTGGCCCCGGTTCCGGTTCCGGTTCGGGCCCGGCCTCACCTCAGCTCCGCGGCGGCGCAAAGAGGCCGCGGCGCCGCCTGCTCCCCTTTATATAGGCCGGCGGGTTTAGCCCCGCCCCCTCCGTCTCTCGGCTCAGCCAATGGGAGCGCACGTTGCGTGCGTGCCGCCCGGAGAGCATCGAGGCGGGGCGGGGCCGCTCTGGGCGGGCGGGGAACGGCGCCCCCTGGTGGCGGGAGGGGGCGCGCTTGGGGGGGGGGCACGTGCGTGGACAGGCGTGATGTCACGGGTGACGTGTGCGTGTGCACGTATGAACATGTGTGTCCATGTATGAACATGTGAGTCCATGTGTGTCCATGTGTGTGCACGTGTGTCCATGTATGAACATGTGTGTGCATGTATGAACATGTGTGTCCATGTGTGTTCATGTGTGTGCACCTGTGTGCACCTGTGTGCATGTATGAACATGTGTGTCCATGTATGAACATGTGTGTGCATGTATGAACATGTGTGTCCATGTGTGTGCATGTATGAACATGTGTGTGCACGTGTGTCCATGTATGAACATGTGTGTGCATGTATGAACATGTGTGTTCATGTGTGTGCACGTGTGAGCACGTGTGTGCACGTGTGTCCATGTATGAACATGTGTGTCCATGTATGAACATGTGTGTCCATGTGTGTTCATGTGTGTGCACGTGTGTACATGTATGAACATGTGTGTGCACGTGTGTCCATGTGTGTGCATGTATGAACATGTGTGTCCATGTGTATTCATGTGTATGCACCTGTGTGCATGTATGAACATATGTGTGCACGTGTGTCCATGTGTGTGCATGTATGAACATGTGTGTCCATGTGTGTGCACGTGTGTTCATGTGTGTGCACGTGTGTCCATGTGTGTGCATGTATGAACATGTGTGTCCATGTGTGTTCATGTGTGTGCACGTGTGAGCACGCGTGTGCATGTATGAACATGTGTGTGCACGTGTGTCCATGTGTGTCCATGCATGTCAATGTATGAACATGTGTGTCCATGTGTGTTCATGTGTGTGCACGTGTGTTCATGTGTGTGCACCTGTGTGCATGAACATGTGTGTGCATGTGTGTTCATGTGTGTGCACGTGTGAGCACGCGTGTGCATGTATGAACATGTGTGTGCATGTGTGTCCATGTGTGTCCATGCATGTCAATGTATGAACATGTGTGTCCATGTGTGTCCATGTGCGTCCATGTATGAACATGTGTGTCCATGTATGTCCATGTCTGTCCATGTGTGTCCATGTGTGTGCACGTTGTGTCCATGTGTGTCCATGTATGTCCATGTATGTCCATGTGTGTGCACGTGTGAGCATGTGTGTGCACCTGTGTGCATGTATGAACATGTGTGTGCACGTGTGTCCATGTGTGTGCACCTGTGTTCATGTGTGTGCACGTGTGTCCATGTGTGTGCTTGTATGAACACGTGTGTACATGTGTGTTCATGTGTGTGCACCTGTGTGCAAGTATGAATATGTGTGTTCATGTGTGTGCACGTGTGAGCACGCGTGTGCATGTATGAACATGTGTGTCCAGGTGTGTGCACGTGTGTGCACGTGTGTCCATGTGTGTGCATGTATGAACATGTATGTCCATGTGTGTCCACGTGTGTGCACATGTGTCCATGTGTGTCCATGTGTGTGCACGTGTCCATGTGTATGCATGTGTGTCCATGTATGAACATGTATGCCCATGTATGTCTGTGTATGTCCATATATATCCATATGTGCCCATATGTGTCCATGTGTGTTTGTGTATGTCCATGTATGCCCACATGTATCCATACATGTCCATACATCCCCATACATGTCCATACATGTCCATACATCTCCATACATCTCCATACATCTCCATACATGTCCGTACATCCCCATACATGTCCATACATGTCCATACATGTCCATACACTCCCATACGTGTCCATACATGCCCATATATGTCCATACATGTCCATCCATGCCCAAACACGTCCATACGTCTCCATACATGTCCATACGTCTCCATACACGTTCATACATGCCCATACACGTCCATACACGTCCATACACGTCCATACGTGCCCATACATGCCCATACATGTCCATACATGTCCATACACACCCATACATGTCCATACACGTCCATACATGTCCACACATGTCCATACACACCCATACACACCCATACACGTCCATACATGTCCATACATGTCCATCCATGTCCATACACACCCATACACGTCCATACACGTCCATACACGTCCATACACATCCATACATGTCCATACACGCCCATACATGTCCATACACACCCATACACGTCCATACATGTCCATACACGCCCATACACGTCCATACACACCCATACACACCCATACACACTCATACATCCCCATACATGTCCATACATGTCCATACATGTCCATACATGTCCATACACGTCCATACACACCCATACACACCCATACACACTCATACATCCCCATACATGTCCATACATGTCCATACACGCCCATACATGTCCATACACACCCATACACATCCATACATGTCCATACATGTCCATCCATGCCCATATATGTCCATACATGCCCATAAATGCCCATACATGTCCATACATGCCCATACACATCCATACACGCCTATACACGTCCATACATGTCCATACACACCCATACACACTCATACATCCCCATACATGTCCATACATGTCCATACACGTCCATACATGTCCATACACGTCCATACATCCCCATACATGTCCATACACGCCCATACACACTCATACATCCCCATACATGTCCATATATGTCCATACACGTCCATACACATCCATACATGTCCATACACGTCCATACATCCCCATACATGTCCATACACGCCCATACATGTCCATCCATGTCCATACACGCCCATACATGTCCATCCATGTCCATACACGCCCATACATGTCCATACATGTCCATCCATCCCCATACATGTCCATACACACCCATACATGTCCATACACGTCCATACATGTCCATACACGTCCATACATGTCCACACATGTCCATACACACCCATACATGTCCATCCATGTCCATACATGCCCATACACGTCCATATGTGTCCATACGTGCCCATACATGTCCATCCATGCCCAAACATGTCCATCCATGTCCATCCATGTCCATACATGTCTATACACCTCCATACATCCCCATCCATCCCCATCCATGCCCATCCATGTCCCCACGTGTCCCCCCCTCTCCCCGCAGCCCCTGGTACCCAGCCCCGTCTCCATGGCAACCCCCCCTTTACCTCCCTCTCCCCTCCCCTCTCTGACGGGCATCTCCCTCCACCAATCAGCGCCCGCGCTGCCCCGGGGGGGGCGGGGCCTGGAGGAGGCGGTGGCGATGGGGGTGGGGGGGAAGGGGGGAGGGGGAGGGGGGGGGGATGTCGGGAGGGGGGGGGGGGGGGGGGGGGATGTCGCGGGGGGGCCGCAGCGATCCCGCACCCATCGCGACAGCGGCTCCTCGGCCGCATCCACCCCCACCCCCCCCCCCAACCCCCCCCCCGGCACCGCCGTTGTGTTCCCCTCCCCCACCCCCCCTTTCCGTGATGGACCCGGCCGCGCCCCCCTCCCTCCATTGAACCCCATTGGGGGGGGGGCCGGGGATGCGCAGCCCGGGCCCCCCCCCCCCCCCACAACCCCCCCCGCTCGGCCCCATGGCCTCGCTCGGGCCCCACGGAGCTTTGGGGGCCCCCCCGGCCCGAGGTGAGTCCGGATCCCCCCCCCCCTCCATCCCCATTGTGTGTCCCCCATCCCCATTGATCCCCCCCATCCCCATTGATCCCCCCCATCCCCATTGATCCCCCCCATCCCCATCGATGCCCCCATCCCCATTGATCCCCCCCATCCCCATTGATCCCCCCCATCCCCATTTGATCCCCCCCATCCCCCATTGTGCCCCCCTCCCAACTGTGCCATCCCCATTGTTTCCCCATCCCCATTGTTTCCCCATCCCCACTGTGCCCCCTCCAACCCCATTGTGCCCCCCTCCTCACTGTGCCCCCCATCCCCATTGTTTCCCCATCCCCATTGTGCCACATCCCCACTGTGCCCCCCATCCCCATTGTGCCCCCCATCCCCATTGTTTCCCCATCCCCACTGTGCCACATCCCCAATGTGACCCCCCCCACTGTGCCCCCATCCCCACTGTGCCCCCCATCCCCACTGTGCCCCCCATCCCCATTGTGCCCCCCATCCCCATTGTTTCCCCATCCCCACTGTGCCCCCATCCCCACTGAGCCACATCCCCAATGTGTCCCCATCCCCACTGTGCCCCCCACCCCCTTTGTTTCCCCATCCCCATTGTTTCCCCATCCCCCTGCCCCCCCAACCCCGTCCCCCCTGGTGCCCCCCCAACCCCGTGCCCCCCCCCCCACCTCCTCTCTCAGGAGCCCCCTCAGCTCCCTGGCACAGAGCTGCAGGCGCTGCCGGTCGCCGCTGTCCACGACCCACACGAGCCCGTCCGTGCTCTCGAAGTAGTTGCGCCAATAGGAGCGGAGCGAGCTCTGCCCCCCAACGTCCCACACGTTCAGCTTGAACCTGGGGGGGGGGGAAAGGGGTCAGCAGGGGGACAATAACAGCGTGGGCACCGTCAGGGGGATCATCATGGGGATCATCATGGGGACCATCATGGGGACCATCATGGGGACCATCATGGGCATCATCATGGGGACCATCATGGGCACCGTCATGGACATCATCATGGGGACCATCATGGGCATCATCATGGACATCGTCATGGGGATCATCATGGGGACCATCATGAGCATCATCATGGGGACCATCATGGACATCATCATGGACATCGTCATGGGGATCATCATGGGGACCATCATGGGCATCATCATGGAAACCATCATGGGCATCATCATGGGGATCATCATGGGCATCGTCATGGGGACCATCATGGGCATTGTCACGGGGACCATCATGGGCATCATCATGGGCATCATCATGGGGACCATCATGGGGATCATCATGGGTGGCATCATGGGCATCATCATGGGGACCATCATGGGGATCATCATGGGGACCATCATGGGGACCATCATGGGCATCATCATGGGGACCATCATGGGCATCATCATGGGGACCATCATGGGGACCATCATGGGCATCATCATGGGCACCATCATGGGCATCATCATGGACACCATCATGGGGATCATCATGGGTGGCATCATGGGCATCATCATGGGGACCATCATGGGGATCATCATGGGGACCATCATGGGGACCATCATGGACACAGTCATGGGGACCATCATGGGCATCATCATGGGCATCGTCATGGGGACCATCATGGGGACCATCATGGGGACCGTCATGGGCACCGTCATGGGCATCGTCATGGGGACCATCATGGGGACCATCATGGGCATCATCATGGGGACCATCATGGGGACCATCATGGGCATCATCATGGGCATCACCATGGGGACCATCATGGGCATCATCATGGGCATCACCATGGGGACCATCATGGACATCATTATGGGCATCGTCATGGGGACCATCATGGGGATCATCATGGGCATCATCATGGGGACCATCATGGGCATGGGCATCATCATGGGCACCATGGGCACAATCATGGGCACTGTCATGGGAACCATCATGGACATCATCATGGAAACCATCATGGGCACAATCATGGGGACCATCATGGGCATCATCATGGAAACCATCATGGGCATCATCATGGGGACCATCATGGGGATCATCATGGGGACCATCATGGGCATCATCATGGAAACCATCATGGGCATCATCATGGGGACCATCATGGGCATCATCATGGGGACCATCATGGGGACCATCATGGACATCATCATGGGGACCATCATGGGCATCATCATGGGGACCATCATGGGCATCATCATGGGCATCATCATGGGGACCATCATGGGGACCATCATGGGCATCATCATGGAAACCATCATGGGCATCATCATGGGGATCATCATGGGCATCGTCATGGGGACCATCATGGGCATTGTCACGGTCATGGGACCATCATGGGCATCATCATGGGGATCATCATGGGGAAACCATCATGGGGATCATCATGGGTGGCATCATGGGGACCATCATGGGGATCATCATGGGGACCATCATGGGGACCATCATGGGCATCATCATGGGGACCATCATGGGCATCATCATGGGGACCATCATGGGGCCATCAGGGGCATAATCATGGGGACCATCATGGACACCGTCATGGGCATCATCATGGGCATCACATGGGGACCATCATGGGGACCATCATGGGCATCATCATGGGGACCATGATGGGCATCATCATGGGCATCGTCATGGGGACCATCATGGACATAATCATGGGGACCATCATGGGCATCATCATGGGGACCATCATGGGGACCATCATGGGCATCATCATGGGCACAGTCAAGGGGACCATGATGGGCATCGTCATGGCCATCATCATGGGTGCCATCATGGGGACCATCATGGGGACCATCACGGACACCATGTCCCCCTCCATGCCCCCCATATCCCCCCATGCCCCCCATTGCCCCCCATGCCCCCCATTGCCCCCCATGCCCCCCATGTCCCAGGACCCACCCGCGGTGCTCCAGGGTCTTGATGTTGAAGCCCAGGGTAGGGGCGGTCCCGGTCACGTCCTCCCCATTGAACCGCTTCAGCAGCGTCGTCTTCCCCGCGTTGTCCAATCCGCTGCGAGGGGCGGGGCGATGAGGCCACGCCCACGGGGACCCGCCCTTCACACCTCTGAGCCCCACCCCGATTGGCTCCGCCCACAATCACAACCCTCGCCCACTTGCACAGGCCCCGCCCCATCCACAACCCTTTCCCTTCCTCATTGGCTGCGCGCTTTCATTAAACCCGCCCACATAATTAGCCCCGCCCATCACAAACCACGCCTCGTTTCCTTAGCCCCGCCCCTTTTCCGTAGCCCAACCCTCTCCTATAAGCCCAACCCCTTCCCATCAGCCCCGCCCCCTCCCTTAAGCCCCACCCCTCTTTCACAAGCCCCTCCCTCTTCCATTAGCCCCGCCCTCTCCCCAATAGCCCCTCCCCTCCCTTAAGCCCCGCCCCTCTCCATCTCATTGCCGCATCCCCCCCCCCCCCCCGCATCCCCTCTCCCCCCCCCCCACCCCCGGCCCCGCCCCCTCCCCACAAGCCCCGCCCCCTCCCCAAGCCCCGCCCCCTTCCCCGAGGCCCCGCCCACAGCACGAGCAGCCTCAGCTCCCGCTCCTTCTCCCGCATCTTCTTCAGGATCGTCAGCAGCCCCATGGCCGCCAAAGGCCCCGCCCCCTTTCCTCCCATTGGCCAGCGTCCCCTCCAAGCTCCGCCCCTTCCCTTCCGCCGCAGTTTAGCTTCCGGGGCGTGCTCTGGCAGCGCTCAGCGCCCCCTGCAGGGCCGGAGGATCGGGGGGGGGGGGGGTGTTGCCTTCCCCCATCCCCACCATGGCCGCCTTCCTCCTCCTCCTCCTCCTCCTCCTCCCTCCCCCGGCCCCGGCTCTGTCCGAAGGCCCCGGATGCCGCCTGCGCTGTGAGTTCCAAACCCCCCCCCCCCAGGGACCCCCCAAACCCCCCCATGGCCTCCAAACCCCATCGGGACATCCCCCCCCCCATGATGTTGGGGTGCCTTCGTGCGTGTGTCCCCCCCCTCCCTCGGGGCTCCAGGCTTTGGGTTCCCCCCCCAGTTATGGGGTTCCCCCCCCCCGGGTTATGGGGATCCCCCCCCCGGGTTATGGGGTTCCCCCCGCAGTTATGGGGATTCCCCCCCCCCGGGTTATGGGGTTCCCCACCCCCGGTTATGGGGATCCTCCCCCGGGTTATGGGGTTCCCTCCTCCGGTTATTAGGTTCCCCCCCCGGGTTATGGGGGTCCCCCCCCCCGGTTATGGGGTATCCCCCCCCAGTTATGGGGTTCCCCCCCGGTTATGGGGTTCCCCCCCGGGTTATGGGGTTCCTCCCCCCCCGGGTTATGGGGTTCCCCCCGCAGTTATGGGTTATGGGGCCTTCCCCCCCCCCCCCGGGTTACGGGGGTCCCCCCACCGGGTTATGGGGTGTCCCCCCGGGTTATGGGGTTCCTCCCCCCAGTTATGGGGTTCCCCCCTCAGTTATGGGGTTCCCCCCCGGTTATGGCCTTCGCCCCCCCCCCGGGTTACAGGGGTCGCCCCACCGGGTTATGGGGTTCCCCCCCAGTTATGGGGTTCCCCCCGCCCGGTTATGGGGTCCCCCACCGGGTTATGGAGTTCCCCCCCAGTTATGGGGTTCCCCCCCGGTTATGGGGTTCCCCCCCGGGTTATGGGGTTCCTCCCCCCCCGGGTTACAGGGGTCGCCCCACCGGGTTATGGGGTTCCCCCCCAGTTATGGGGTTTCTCCCCCCGCCCGGTTATGGGGTTCCCCCCCTTCCCCCCCATCCCCCCACAGGGGTGCCGCTGGTGCCGGGGGTCCCGGGGTGCCGGGGGGGGGCCGCCGGTGCCTGCGTGGGGCACTGCGAGTCCAGCGCCGTCCCCTCCCCCGGCGCCGTGCTGGCCGCCAGCCGACACCTCCAGACCTCCAGGGGGCGCTGCTGCACCATGGCCCGCGCGCACAAGGTGGGCGGGGCTTGGGGGAGGGGGAGGGGGGGAGCACGTGGTTGGTAAGGGGGGGTCATACGTGTTGGAGCGTGTCATAACGTGTCAGTGCGTGGTGAAGTGTGTCGTAGCGTGTCTCTGTATGTTGAAGTGTGTCATAGCATGTTGAAGCATGTCACAGTGTGTCAGTACATGTTAGAGCATGTCATAGCACGCATCTGTATGTTGAAGCGTGTCATAGCGTGTCTCTGTATGTTGAAGTGTGTCATAGCGTGTTGAAGCATGTCACAGTGTGTCAGTACATGTTAGAGCGTGTCGTAGCGTGTCTGTGCTGAAGTGTGTCATAGCGTGTTGAAGCGTGTCACAGTGTGTCAGTACACGTTAGAGCGTGTTGTAGCATGTCTATGTTGAAGTGTGTCATAGCGTGTTGAAGCGTGTCACAGTGTCAGTACATGTTAGAGCGTGTCATAGCATGCATCTGTATGTTGAAGTGTGTCATAGCGTGTTGAAGCGTGTCACAGTGTCAGTACATATTAGAGCGTGTCGTAGCGTGTCTCTGTATGTTGAAGTGTGTCATCGCATGTTGAAGCGTGTCACAGTGTGTCAGTACATGTAAGAGCGTGTCGTAGTGTGTCTGTGTTGAAGTGTGTCATCGCATGTTGAAGCGTGTCACAGTGTGTCAGTACATGTTAGAGCGTGTCGTAGCGTGTCTCTGTATGTTGAAGTGTGTCATAGCATGTTGAAGCGTGTCACAGTGTGTCAGTACATGTTAGAGCATGTCATAGCATGCATCTGTATGTTGAAGTGTGTCATCGCATGTTGAAGCGTGTCACAGTGTGTCAGTACATGTTAGAGCGTGTCGTAGCGTGTCTCTGTATGTTGAAGTGTGTCATAGCGTGTTGAAGCGTGTCACAGTGTGTCAGTACATGTTAGAGCGTGTTGTAGCATGTCTGTGTTGAAGTGTGTCATAGCGTGTTGAAGCGTGTCACAGTGTGTCAGTACATGTTAGAGCGTGTCGTAGCGTGTCTCTGTATGTTGAAGTGTGTCATAGCATGTTGAAGCGTGTCACAGTGTGTCAGTACATGTTAGAGCGTGTCGTAGCGTGTCTCTGTATGTTGAAGTGTGTCATAGCATGTTGAAGCATGTCACAGTGTGTCAGTACATGTTAGAGCGTGTTGTAGCGTGTCTGTGTTGAAGTGTGTCATCGCGTGTTGAAGCGTGTCACAGTGTGTCAGTACATGTTAGAGCGTGTCGTAGCGTGTCTCTGTATGTTGAAGTGTGTCATAGCATGTTGAAGCATGTCACAGTGTGTCAATACATGTTAGAGCATGTCATAGCATGCATCTGTATGTTGAAGTGTGTCATCGCATGTTGAAGCGTGTCACAGTGTGTCAGTACATGTTAGAGCATGTCATAGCGTGTCTCTGTATGTTGAAGTGTGTCATCGCATGTTGAAGCGTGTCACAGTGTGTCAGTACATGTTAGAGCGTGTCGTAGCGTGTCTATGTTGAAGTGTGTCATAGCATGTTGAAGCGTGTCATGTGTCAGTAAGTGTGTCATAGCGTGTCTATGTTGAAGTGTGTCATGCGTGTGAAGTGTGTCATACATGTTGAGAGCGTGTCACATGTCTCTGTATGTTGAAGTGTGTCATAGCGTGTTGAAGCGTGTCACAGTGTGTCAGTACATGTTAGAGCATGTCATAGCGTGCATCTGTATGTTGAAGTGTGTCATCGCATGTTGAAGCATGTCACAGTGTGTCAGTACATGTTAGAGCGTGTCGTAGCGTGTCTCTGTATGTTGAAGTGTGTCATATCGTGTTGAAGTGTGTTATAGCATGTCAGTGAGTGTTAGAGCGTGTCATAGTGTGTCTGTATGTGGAAGTGTGTCATGGCGTGTTGAAGTGTGTCACAGTGTGTCAGTACATGTTAGAGCATGTCATAGCCTGTCTCTATGTTGAAACGTGTCATAGCGTGTTGAAGTGTGTCATAGCATGTCAGTGTGTGTTAGACTGTGTCGTAGCATGCATCTGTATGTTGAAACATGTCATAGCGTGTTGGCGTGTGTCATAGCATGTCGGTGCATGTTAGAGTGTGTCGTAGCATGTCTCTGTGGAAGTGTGTCATAGCGTGTTGAAGCATGTAATAGCATGTCGGTGCATGTTGAAACGTGTCAGAGTGTATCGCTTTATGTTGAAGCGTGTCATAGCATGTTGTAGTGTGCTGAAGAGTGTCATAGCGCGTCGGTGCATGTTGATGCGTGTCATAGTTTATTGGTGTATGTTGAAGCATGTAATAGCATGTAGCGTGTCATAGCATGTTGAAACGTGTCAGAGAATGTCGGTACATGTCGAAGCGTGTCCTAGAGTTTTGGTGTATGTTGTAGCATGTTCGTGCATGTTGAAGCGTGTCCTAGTGTGTTGGTGTATGTTTAAGCATGTCGGTGCGTGTTGAAGCGTGTCCTAGCATGTCGGTGTATGTTAAAGCATGTCGGTGTGTGTTGAAGTGTTTCCTAGCGTGTCGCCATATGCTGCCCGTGTATGTTAAAGCAAGCCGGTGCATGACGAAGCATGTTCGTGCATGTTGTAGTGTGTTCGTGCATGTCGAAGCGTGTCGTAGCGTGTTGGTGTATGTTGTAGCATGTTGGTACATGTTGAAGCGTGTCCTAGTGTGTTGGTGTACGTTAAAGCATGTCAGTGCCTGTTGAAGCATGTCCTAGCATGTTGGTGCATGTTGTAGCGTGTTCATGCATGTCGAAGCGTGTCCTAGTGTGTCGGTGTATGTTGTAGCATGTTGGTACATATTGAAGTGTGTCCCGGTGTATGTTAAAGCATGTCGGTGCATGTTAAAGCATGTCTGTGTATGTTAAAGCATGTCTGTATGTTAAAGCATGTCGGTGCATGTTAAAGCATGTCTGTGTATGTTAAAGCATGTCTGTATGTTAAAGCATGTCTGTATGTTAAAGCATGTTGGTGGATGTTAAAGCATGTCGGTGTATGTTAAAACATGTCGGTGCATGTTGAAGCGTGTCCTAGCGTGTCGGTGCATGTTGAAGCATGTCGGTGCATGTTAAAGCATGTCGGTGCATGTTGAAGCGTGTCCTAGCGTGTCGGTGCATGTTGAAGCATGTTGGTGCGCGTTGACGCGTGTCGCTGCGTGCTGACGTCCCCCCGTTCCCCCCCCCCCAGGTCCTGGTGACCCTGCGCTGTCCCGGCCGCTCCCGCCGCCGCCTGCAGACGGTGTCGGCCCGCTCCTGCCGCTGCGACATGTGCCGCCAGGCCCGGTACTGACCCCGGGGCACCGGCGCCATTAAAGGCATCGATAGCACGGACCGAGGCTCCGCGTGTTGCGGGAGGGGGGGGGGAACCGGGAGGGCGGAGGGGGAAGGGGGGGTGTGGGGGGTGCGGGGCGGTCGCACCGGGTCCGGTTTCGGCCTCCCCGTTGCTCGAGTCCCGGCGCCGCCATAACCCCGGTGCGGATGCTGCGGTCGTCATGGCAACTCCTCACTGCGCATGCGCGCACACCCTCGCGCCGCCTTTCAACCAATGGGAGTGAAGCGGAAGTGGGAGGGGCGGAAGGGCGGGACCGGAAGCGGAGCTCGTCGGTGGGCCCGGTACCGGAGCCGGGGATGCGGCGTTGGACGGAGCCGCTGAAGGCCCGCGCGGCCCGGTACGCGCTGGAGCGCTCCCTGGGGCCCTTCCTGGAGGAGCGGCTGCGGCTCGAGCAGCTCAGCCTGGACCTGCGCGGCGGCACCGGCTGCCTGCGCTGCCTGCGCCTCTGCGCGCCGGTGAGGCCTGCACCGGGGAACGGAGAGGGGAGTAGTGGGGGGGGGTTCGGTGTGTGCCCCCCCCCAGTGCGCTCACACCCGGGGCTTTTGTTTCGCCGTCACCACCCGCAGGCCGTGGATGAGCTGCTGGCGGCGGCGGGAGCGCCGCTGGAGCTGCGGGAGGGCGTCCTGGGCTCCGTCACCGTCACCGTGCCCTGGGCCGCGTTGGGCTCCCGCTCCTGCGGGCTCAGAGTGACCGGGCTGCGCCTGGCGCTGCGGCCCCGTGAGCGGAGAGAGACCGCACCCCCCCCCCCACCACCCCCTTCCGTCCCATTCCTCTCCCTCCGGTCCTGTCCCCCCTCCTCCTCCCCACACCCCCGTCCCGTTCCCCTCCCTCCGAACCCGTTCCCCCCCCCCCCGCCTCCGATCCCCTTCCCCCCGCCCCGGACCCGTTCCCCCCACTCTGGGCCTGTTCCCCTCCTTCCGGTCCCGTCTACCCCCACTCCGGTCCCGTTTCCCCCGCCCCGGTCCGATCCCCCCCCACTCCGGTCCCGTTCCCCTCCCTCCGGTCCCGTCCCCCCACAAATCCGATCCCGTGTCCCCCCACTCCGATCCCATTCCCCCCACTCCAATCCTGTCCCCCCCCAACCCAGTCCCATCCCCTTCCTCTGGTCCCATCTCCCCCCCCCTCCGGTCCCCTTTCCTCCGCTCCATTCCCATCCTCCGCACTCTGATCCCATTCCCCCCACTCCAATCCTGTCCGTCCGTCGTCCCCCCCCCAACCCAGTCCCATCCCCTTCCTCCCATCCCATCCCCCCCGCCCTCCGGTCCCCTTTCCTCTGCTCCATTCCCGTCCCCCCACAACTCCGATCCCCCCCCCCCCCCCCCCCCCTCCGATCCCATTCCCCCCACTCCAATCCTGTCCCCCCCCAATCCAGTCCCATCCCTTTCCTCTGGTCCCATCTCCCCCCCCCTCCGGTCCCCTTTCCTCCGCTCCATTCCCGTCCCCCCCACTCCGGTCCCGTTCCAGCCCCCCGGTCCCGTCCCCCCCTTCTGATCCCGTTCTCATCCCCCCCCCAGGTCCCATTCCCCCCTCCAGTCCCATCACTGATCCTGTGTCACCCCCCCCCCCCATCACCCTGTCTCCTTCCTATGGGTCCCCCCCTTTCTGGTCCCATCACCCGCTCCTGGGGTCTTCTCTCCCCCCTCCCCACCCCATCCCTTTGTGCCCCCCCCCCTCTCATTGCCCCGTGTCCCCACAGGGCAGCGGGGGGGGCCTGAGGCTGCTCCCCCCCCTTCAGCCCGGCGAGACCCCCCCCCAGAGCCGCCCCCCCTGGAGGGGCTGGAGGCGCTGGCCTTGACCATCGATGGAGGTGGGGAAATAAGGGGGGAATGGGGGGCTTGGGGGTCGCGGGGGGGGGGGGTCACATCTCAAACCCCCCCCCCCATTGTGCCCCCCCCTTCAGTGCTGCGCCGGCTGCGGGTGGAGCTGGAGGACACGGAGCTGCGCCTGGAGCTGCCGGGGGGGGCCCTGGAGCTGCGGCTGCCAAGGTGAGGGGGGGTCAGGGGGGAGTCTGGGGGGGGGGGGGGTGTTGCAGTTAATAGTAATGGGGGTGCCCCGATGGGGATGTGACCCCCCCATGTCCCATCCTAGGGTTGAATACGAGGACGAGGGGGGGCCGGGCCCAGGGCCCCCCCCGGTGCTGCTCAAGGGGCTGCGCTTTGGGGACCTGCGGCTGCTGTGGCAGGAGCTGCCCC